AATTACATAGATTTGACTATAATGGTTAATTACTCATAGAGGACAAGTTACCGAAACGTTTTTATTTTTTTAATCATATATTACATCAAACGAACTTTAAATTGTTTCTGTTTAGAATGATGTAAATATTCCATTACTCTGCTAAATATTACGAAATCAGCCATTTTCTCCGAAAATTGTGTGATTTTTTGCTCTAATATTTCCTAGAAATCGAGATTTCAGATAGTTTTCCTTTTTTTTATTATAAGTACATATGTACCTAACACATCAAATGAAAGATTTTAAAATATTGAATTATTTTTAATTTGATATAGTTTTAAAGAAGTCATATTTTTTATAACATTATAAAAAATTGAAAATAAAATAATTTGATATGACGATTATAGTCTTTCTCAGTACTATAGTAAATGGTACAATTAAGAAAAAAACATGTTAAAAATAAGGTAATTGTCTTCAATATTACCACTGAGAATTTTTTTTTTTGATCCATAAATTACTCAGACAGTTAGAGTTACTGACACCCCGGCCACAATTCACCCATATGAAAGATTTAATCATGTCTGAACGTTGTTTCTTCCATGATGAACATTCATTATTTTTAAATTTTTTTTGACTAGCTTTTTTCGCTACACTATAATCTATACACTTCACTCACATCTCGCAAAACGTTTGATTATTGAATCACTTATATTTTTTTGTTCGTCATTGCTTTTAAACGCACTTATCACCATTCGCTTGATTAGTGTATATCTTTATTGTTCGCGTTCATAATAATTTTAGTGGTCAATCGCTCGACTATTATTTACCATAAAATTTCCTCCGCTCGGCCTTATTAGTTTCTAAACAGTACCGTGTCATTCATACCGATGTGCATTGTATAATCTGTGTTTGTATTTTACGTACACCATCTTTGGGATCACATCATAATTAGATTTTTCAGTCGCTTTGTCCAAAAGTTATTAGGAAATGATTACTATTACTTCTATTTAAGTTATCTATTACGATAAAAATGCAAAAAAAATATTGAGCTACTCTGATAAATTTACTATAAATAGTAATTATAAAACTTCCTAACTGCGTATTAATCTTAATGATACAATTTTTTTTAATTCTCATAAAATTTTCTATTTAATGATGTCAATTTCAAACTTGCCATTTGGCTAAAAGTTATGGTAAAATAAATTATTAATAAACATTCACAAAAATCAACTTTAAACGACTAAAAATATAATATATTTACATATTATGTTAAATATGGCATTTTCCTTATTTTTAACATATTAATAATCAAAATCAGTATTAATTTAAAACAATTTTTTTTGTTCTTAATTATTATTTTTTATATGTTAATACTTATTTTTTAATAACAATTAATAATATTAAAACTTAGAAGTGATAGAAAAAGTCTAATGTGAAAACATCGCGACAAGTTGATTTAAAATAGTATATTTTTGTTTCTGATGAAAGTTCCTTATAGTCCAGTGTATAAAACTTATAATCTTGTTATAAGTAACAAACATTTTTTACTGAAAAGTATTGCATCAAGCCCTTTAAATTTTTATACACGTTATAGGTAAAGAAAAATACAACTACTTTATAATTTTTATAATATCTCCGTAACAATTACAATATTAAATTATTGAATATCAATTGACTACTAAATGTAATTATTATTTAATTTTTGACTATGCCACTGCACTATCGTATTTTACATTAAATAATATGAATGTAAGGAATTTTTTAACGATAATTGTAACCTTTTATAAATCGTTATAAATTGAATTTATAATAAAAATAGATAAAAGAGATATTGAAAAATGAATTAATTTTACTTTAAAACTACAGCACAAAAATTAATTTATAAGAAACACAAATTGTGGTTATAATAAAAAATGTAGCGAAAAACTATAAATATATTTAGATAAGGCACAATAAGATATTTCCAAGTAAAAAGACATATTTAACCTAATTTTTTTATCCTTTAAAGTTGATTTTTGTGAAAGTATATAGTAAAAAAAAAAACGGTAGCACAGTGGGGTCGTGGCATAGTGGAGACATTGCATAGTAGGGTCCAGTATAGATTTAATCTGACAGTGATTAAAATCACTATCATAAGAAACGCTTCGATGCAAATCTGTAGATAGTGTTTAATTTTAAAAAATTGATGGATAATTGCAAAAGCAACATCAACTTCTATTAAAATAAAATACAAAACCCATAATTATCATACAAAAATAGTATATTTTTCAATATGGTAGCCATTTGCGTATAGAAGATAGATCGTCGGGACAAATTTTTTTTTTTCATTTTGTAGTACATAAAATAAGCTTTAATTTTATATATGTTTAAAGGACGCAGTATTTCCGGAACATTTTCAAAAATTAAGTTGAAAAAGTTATTTTTTGTAAAAAAGTTACTATTTTAAATCCTCCCAGTGAGCAGAATAAGTGTTAGATTTTCAAAAAAAATTATATCAAATGAAAGGGAAATATCTAAGGTTTCAATACAAAAAAATATTATTTTTATTTGTTCATTTTTGAAAAAGTTATGGCAGTTTTAAGTACAAAAAACATCCCGATAAAATGTAATTTTTATCGCAAACATTACATTTTTTTTTAAATTTTCGACAGCCATTTGCACATAGAAGATAAGATGTCGGGACAAATTTTTTTTTTTCATTTGATAGTATATAACATAACCTTTGATTTGATATATGTTTAAAGGACGCAGTATTTCCGGAACATTTTCAAAAGTTCAGTTGAAAAAGATCTATGTTTTTTACAATATTTTAAGTTTTGAACGCCCCCTATATAAGGGGAAATTGTCCAATTTTAATAAAAAGTATGTCAAATGAAAGATGTACTTATAATGTATTTAGAAAAAAAAAATTTGTGCTGATATATACATTTTTCAAAAAGTTATAGCATTTTTAAGTTGAAAATTTAAAATCGAAAATCGAAAATTTTAACACAAAAATAGTGTTTTTTTAACTACGGCAGCCGTTTAAATGTAGAAAAAAAAGTGTCGGGACAAATTTTTTTTTTTCATTTTGTAGTACATAAAATAAGCTTTAATTTGATATATGTTTAAAGGACGCAGTCTTTCCGGAACATTTTCAAAAATTAAGTTGAAAAAATTAATTTTTGTAAAAAAGTTGCCATTTTAAATCCCCCCCAATGAGCAGGTTAAGTGATAGATTTTCAAAAAAATGATATCAAATGAAAGGTAAATATCTAAGGTTTTAGTATAAAAAAAAATTATGTTGATTTGTTGATTTTTCAAAAAGTTATGGAAGTTTTAAGAAAAAAAAGTGAAAAAATTTCGAAAATTAGCGATTTTTAAATTTGTAATTTTTTTGGATATTTCCCCCATTTGCGGGGAACGAGGGAATTTTTTTCAATTTTTAAGGGTAATGTCTTCAACTAGATACGATTTGTGATCTTTTGACGTATTTTTGAAAGAAATCGGTCCAGTGAGAGCTAAGAAAAAGTGGCAACAGACATAAAAAAAAAAAAAAACACATCATAGTAAAATTAATACCTTCTCCGCTTCGCATCGAAGCTAAAATAGAATAAAACAAATCAATTTTACTGAGTTGTTTAACAGCAAATTTACTATTTTTAGTTAATGAAAGTGGACTTAAATACTCTCATGTTTGAAGGAGCGAATTTTAATTATTTTCAAAATTTTTAAACAAAATCTAGAATAATTGATACCTTTGAGTTAAAGAGTCTTAGTTTTTATAAGGAGCCATTAATTTAAATTTGAAAAATGTTGAAAATTATAAGGCGAATATACATTATTTCTTTGTTGGACCTATTTTAAGCTCACAACATATTTTCGCTTTGTTGCGAAGCTGAAAGGACTTTGTGATGGTATGCGTTTATTTTTGTATCCATCCATAAAAATTGTTCGCTCTCACTGAATTGATTTTAATAATCAATACGGAAAGTGTCCGATTTTAATCTATCGGCGCCAAAAATTTGAAAATACCTCATAAATGTGATATTTACTTACCACTCATGTAAACTTTCAATTATTGATGTTTTAGAATGTCTGACAACCACTCGACTTAAGAAATAAAAAATTAATCGTGTAGAATTTTTCCCCATTTATTGAAATTACCATTTATGAAACTTTTCAAAAAAATATCTAATAATTATTAAAAAATCCAAGTACATTGGAGTCGCAGCACAGTATGACTGTGGCATAGTTGGGACTAGTGCTAAAGTATAATAAAACAATAAGAAAGTTTTTGCTCTTGCATTTAATTTAGTGCAAAATATAAGTCTTCCTTGTATACCCATTCAAGAATTTTTTTACTTGAGACAGTTATCAGTTTATGCGTTTGGTATTCATAATCTGATAGATGATAGTTCAATGATACTTCTTTATCACAAAGAAAAAGCTCATAAAGGACCTGATGAGTTCTTTTTTATTGAGGTATATTAATTTTTTTTTTCTCGATATGTCATATGATTACAAATAGTATCTAGTCGAAATTTTATAAAAATTAAAAAAAAATCCTTCAGAGAATTATTCCTTCATCCATTATGAGGATGCGTCTGGTCGACAGAAGTCATAAAAATGATGTTAAATCATTGCAAGGTAGAGTAGACCTCAAATAAATGGGATAGAGACTTAGGGCAAAAAAAATATTTTAAGTAAAATACCAGATGTTTCATATTATTCTTTTTTTTTGTAGAACAGATATATCCATTTTTTATCACAGTTAATATATTTGACAATTTGTAAATTATTTATAAATAACAATTAATCACACTGTAATATATTATACAAATATAGCAAATAGACATTGGTATTATTGTAATTTAAATCGATAAAAATTTTCATAAACAAAAAAATAAATCATATAAATTTATTATTATACTACAGCAAATAAATTAAAGGAAACACTTTATATTACAATTTAAATTACGTCAAATGACAATTTATATTCAAATAATTGAAGTTTTTAATACAGTAATACTTTAAATAATATACCTGTAATATACCTTTTAAATACTTATAAATAGTAAAAAAGATTGTCACTTTTAATAGTTCATTAGAAAAATAAAAAATTTACTTTTAAATTTTTTTAATTGTTATTACAAATATTATGAAATCGTTTACTATTGTAACATTTTCGCTTATTTTGTTGGGTGGTGTTTTATTGACATCATGTAATCAGACAAACGTTGTTGATATATTGAATTCACTTCTTAAGGTAGAAAAATGGTCGTTCTCGGACAAATACACTTGGTACAAAACTAATACTCTTGAAGTATTAAATATTAATAATTTACTCATAAGTGATTCTATGAATACTGTTACTGAAGATAACGTGGACGAAAAACTATTACAAACATCTTTATTGATAAGATATGAGTACGCAAAAACTATACATTGGCTTGCTGACATGTTAACTTTTATGAATAATGATTGTATGATTCAAAATGATGAAGAAAGTATCGAGATTCAAAAAGAATTTATGAGAATATTTAAATCAACTCTTACAAAAGCAAAAATGGTAACAACACGTTTTTTAAGCGCATTACAATTCATAGACGATTTAAAAGTAAGTGTTGAAAAAAAAAAATTCTATGATTTAAGTGATATATTGAATAACTTTAACGAATTTGAAATCAATACACAATTAAATGATGATAGGTTCTATATTTTATACGTAATAATTGACGATATGTTAAAATTTATAATCGACGACATAGAAAATTATTTAAATAAGTTTCATGATGATGATGATAATGATCCACTTGATGGGGATTTAAAGGTAGAGAAATTACAAAATACATATAGGATTCAATCGATAAAAAATTTTTGTTACGTAAAAAATGAAATTTCTAAAAAATTTTTAAAAAAAAATACCACACCTTTTGATTTTCTTCTTAAATATATTACCGATAGTATCGATGATATAATTAAAATCAATTACACCGATCTTGGATTCGAATATGACAAGATGACAAAAACAAGTTTCTATAAACTGTAAAAAAAAAAACTAGTGTAAAATACTTCAATTTAGTTTTAAGTGATATTCTGATTGTATTAGTTAAGTTTCAAATGTAAACACGAAAAACATACTAAATTTTCATTGTATGATTTATGTAATCAAAGAATTATATTGATTTATTTTACTTTAAAATTATTTATTGCTTGATCTATGTAATACCCATCTTAAATAAATACATACATAAAAATGAACTATTGTTAATTTTGAATGAGTACCATTCTCATAACTTGTCAAAATTTCAGGTTGAATTGCTTTTATAATTTTTCAATACATGAGCAGAAAAACTATATACAAGTGATTCATTTAAATTTCATTAACGCTATCCGATCAATTTCTCTTAAAATATTTTTTTGTTCGATTTATGTTAGTTAGCATAATATTAATATGATGTCAATTGCTATGTAATGGAAGATATTAAAGCCTATGTAAATACTATAAAACAGTTAACTAGTATCATTTTTAGTAGTTCTTTTAGAAAAATAAAAAATTTACTTTTTAGTTTTGTAAATTGTTATTACAAATAACATGAAATCGTTTACTATTGTAATATTTTCGCTTATTTTGTTTGGTGTTTTTTTGTTAACATCATGTAATCAGACAAACGTTATAAATAATATTAAATTCACTTCTTAAGATAGAAAAATGGTCGTTCTCGGACAAATACACTTGGTACAAAACTAATACTCTTGAAGTATTAAATATTAATAATTTACTCATACGTGATTCAGAAGTGAATAAGCTGAACGATTAGAGAATTTTCTAATGTATATTTTGTAATAGATCATAAAGTTTAACAAGTTTTTTAAATGAAGTTTAAATGAAATTTTAAAATATATCAATTGAAAAATACAATATTTACACATTATTTTAAAATTAAACAGGTTCACTTCGAAACGTTTTTTATGGCAATAATGTTAATTACAGTTAAATATCATTTATATTTGTCTGAACTATGCCTCTAACTATTAGAAAATTAAGTAGTTTTTAAATTTATCCCATTATTATGATTTATTTGAATTTTTGGGTCAGTCTTACATTTTTCTCAGCACCTTACTGGACTGATTTTTTTCAACGATATGTCATAAGATTACATATAGTATCAAATAGTAAATTCCTCCGTTCCCCATAAATAGGGTAAAATTTCCTAAAAAGTACGATTTTTATAGTCGGTAAATTACAATATTTTTTTTCCTTTTTTGATCTAAAACCGCCTTAACTTTTTAAAATACAGATAATCAAAACAAATTTTATTCCATAAATACTTAATTTTTTTTTTCTCGATATGTCATAAGATTACAAATAGTATCTAGTTGAAATTTTTAAAAATTAGAAAAAAATCCTTCAGAGAATTTCCTAGAAAAACTAAGTGTGTATCTTAAAACATAGCTTATGTGATATATCTATCTATAGTACAGTATATTCCTAAAATTGAGAAAGTTTTTTTAATTTTAATTTAATTATAATTTTACAGCAAACACATTAAATGAATCACTTTTGTTAGCATAATATTAATATGACGTCAATTGCTATGTAATGGAAGATATTAAATCTCTTGTCAATTGTATAAAACAGTTAATTAGGAAACTATTTAATAGTTCTCTTAAATAAAAATTAACTTTTGAGTTTTGTATTACATATATGTTATTATAAATAACATGAAATCGTTTAACATTGTAACATTTTCGCTTATTTTGTTTGGTGGTTTTTTATTAACATCATGTAATCAGACAAACGTTGTTGATATATTGAATTCACTTCTTAAAACAGAAAAATGGACATTCGGTGAAAAAAACACGTATTATAATTATCCTAATCTAGTTTCAAGTGATTTACTCATAAATGACTCTCAGAACGGGAATATTGTTACTGAAGATAACGTAAAAATAAAATTATTAGAAGCATCGCAATTGATAAGTTATGAGTACGCAATAACTCTGCATTGGCTTGCATATAAATTAATTTCATTAAACTATTATTTTTCTCAACATTTTTCTACAGCAGATTTAGAGACTCGAAAACAATATAGTGACACAATGAAATCAATTATGACAAAAGTAAAGAAGTTAACACAACGTTTTTTCAGTGCATTACAATTCATAGACAATTTAGATATAAGTTATCAAAAACTATTCTTGAAACGTCTTAGTGAAATATTGTTAATCTTCAATGAATTTGATTTATATGAATCTTCAAATGAATTATTGTTATCTTTTTACCAATATGTTTTATCTGGTACATTAGAGTCTTCTATTAATTCAGTTATACTATGTATAAATCATTATTATAAGGCAATACCAATTATGCCTATGTCTAATCTTGATGATTTGCATATAAAGTATTATAGTCAATCATATACAAATAAAAAATCTGCTGAAGAACTCGCAGATTTAAAATCTCATTGTAAACTCATTCTCAAAAGTGTTGATGAATTTATAGAAAAAAAATATACTAACCTCGGATTCATATATAACGAGAATTTAGGAGAAAGTTATTATAACTTGTAAAAAAAAAATATTGGTGTAAAACAATTCAATTTAACTTTTGAGTAATATTATAACTTTATTAATTGAAAATTCCTTTTAAAATAAACTAAATTTAAATAAAACATTGTAATAAAATAAAAATATTCATTTATTTTTAAGGTTAAAATAATTTATCGCTCAAACAATGCGATCCCATCTTTAAATTAATTTTTATGAAATAAAAAACTATTGTTAATTTTAAATAATTTTTATTCTCAAGTGTCCTTAAATTTATTGAAAAAAATAAACAAACCCGTAAAAAAAATAATGGCGTAAAACATTACTTATATTTTTTAAATATCTTAACAAAATTTGAATAAGTATCCCATATATTTCCAATCCAAAGGAAGCTTATTGTCTATAGTTTACAAGATTAAAAGTTCATTAGAATCAGTGCTTTTTAAAAGAAGATGTAGTAGTTTTTTAATTCAGAAATTAAAATATTAAAAATTTTTAGGTATGTACTATTGATATACTATTTAATCCTTCAAATTGATAAACAAGAAATATTTTTTCAAGTATGTGTTTTGTATTCAAAATATGTTTGAGTAAGATATATGTTTCAATTATTGAGGTTGTAATATATAAAAAATATGCAGAAATTGCATAAAAATTTAATATTGCCTCTTATAAATAAAAATTAATTAAGTTATTTTTAAAACACTTTTTGAAAATTCTTGAGTTTTTTCCTACGCGATCACAAGGGTTAAAACGTTTTTTATATAAAGCTTTTGGTTTCATTGTATTATATACTTTTAAAGATATCTTTGGTCCTCTGGGTTATTTAGAATATAGCGTCTCATTTAATACAGCAGGAACTGCTAAATGGAAATGTTTTAATGTCTTTTGTTTACATTTACTGTTAACAGAAAATAAAATAAAGGAATTATGAAATAACAAGGCATAAAAATTGAAAAAAATAAAATAAACACCTGTAATTGTTTCACGTTCATACTGCCAGGGATGAATTAATTCCTATATGAGCTCCGGGAAGTACCTTGAGATACTTATTCCCTCTATACTCACATTTTCATTGAATTTTTATTTAAATCAAATCCAAAGAAATCCTATTGTCTATAGAATACTCGGTTAAAATTTCATTGGATACAATGTTTAAAAGAAATATACAGTAGTATTTAAATAATTATCTAAAATTGAAGTAGTTTTTTTAATTTAGAATGATGAAAGGTTTAACTAGATTAAAATTGGGTTCATTTGACGTATTTATTATTAGAATTAGTTTGTGAGATCTGAGAATATTTATAGAAAGATCACCAGAGAATAACATACCACCTGAAACCTAATATCTTCTCACGTTCTCATAGAAATCTAAAATACTGATTGTTAAAGAATTGTCAAAAATCATATATAAATTTAAATGAATCACTTTTGTTAGCATAATATTAATATGACGTCAATTGCTATATAATGGAAGATATTAAAGCCTATGTAAATACTATAAAACAGTTAACTAGTATCATTTTTAGTAGTTCTTTTAGAAAAATAAAAAATTTACTTTTTAGTTTTGTAAATTGTTATTACAAATAACATGAAATCGTTTAACATTGTAACATTTTCGCTTATTTTGTTTGGTGGTTTTTTATTAACATCATGTAATCAGACAAACGTTGTTAATATATTGAATTCACTTCTTAAGATAGAAAAATGGTCGTTCTCGGACAAATACACTTGGTACAAAACTAATACTCTTGAAGTATTAAATATTAATAATTTACTCTTACGTGATTCTATGAATACTGTTAATGAAGATAACGTGGACGAAAAACTATTACAAACATCTTTATTGATAAGTTATGAATACGCAAAAACTATACATTGGCTTGCTGACATGTTAACTTTTATGAATTATGATTGTTGTGTTAAAAATGATGAAGAAAGTATCGAGATTCAAAAAGAATTTATGAGAATATTTAAATCAACTCTTACAAAAGCAAAAATGGTAACAACACGTTTTTTAAGCGCATTACAATTCATAGACGATTTAAAATTAAGTGTTGAAAAAAAAAAAATCTATGATTTAATTGAAATATTAAGCAGATTTAACGAAATTGAAATCAATACAGAATTAAATGATGATAGGTTCTATATTTTATACGTAAATATTGACGATATGTTAAAAAGTATAATCAACCACACAGTAAATTATTTAGATAGATTTCATAATGATGATGATGATGATAATGATCCACTTGATTGGGATTCAAAGGTAGAGAAATTAGAAAATACATATAGGATTCATTCGATAAAAAATTTTTGTTACGTAAAAAATGAAATTTCTAAAAAATTTTTAAGAAAAAATACCACACCTATTGATTTTCTACTTAAACACATTACCAAAAGTGTCGATGATATAATTAAAATCAATTACACCGATCTTGGATTCGAATATGACAAGATGACAAAAACAAGTTTCTATAACCTGTAAAAAAAAACTAGTGTAAAATACTTCAATTTAGTTTTAAGTGATATTCTGATTGTATTAGTTAAGTTTCAAATTTAAACAAGAATAACTTACTAAATTTTCATTGTATGATTTATGTAATCAAAGAATTATATTGATTTATTTTACTTTAAAATTATTTATTGCTTGATCTATGTAATATCCATCTTAAATAAATGCATATTAATAAATTAACTATTGTTAATTTTGAATGAGTACCATTCTCATAACTTGTCAAAATTTCAGGTTGAATTGCTTTTATAATTTTTCAATACATGAGTAGAAAAACTATATACAAGTGATTCATTTAAATTTCTTTAACGCTATCCGCTCAATTTCTCTTAAAATATTTTTTTGTTCGATTTATGTTAGGTAACATAATATTAATAGGACGTCAATTGCTATGTAATGGAAGATATTAAATCTCTTGTCAATTGTATAAAACAGTTAATTAGGAAACTATTTAATAGTTCTCTTAAATAAAAATTAACTTTTGAGTTTTGTATTACATATATGTTATTATAAATAACATGAAATCGTTTAACATTGTAACATTTTCGCTTATTTTGTTTGGTGGTTTTTTATTAACATCATGTAATCAGACAAACGTTGTTGATATATTGAATTCACTTCTTAAAACAGAAAAATGGACATTCGGTGAAAAAATCTTACTCGTGATTCGTTAAACTACAAAATTAAAATTAACGATAGATGTAATTTTTCTGTACTTAAATATATTATTTGCACGATTCTTGCAAGTGCATACTACTACACTGTATATTATTTGCCATAATATTGTTGCATTAAGGTGTAAAACTAAAAATTTATTTCGTTTGGAAAGTTAGCAAATGTTCATAATGTCTTTTTACAATTAAAATACTAAACAAGAAGTTGAAATTTCATTAAATTACTTACATATCGCATTACATTATGTTAGCCGTACATAATTTGTTTTAGGAACTAAGTTAAATAGTTTTCTCATACTTCAAAGTTTTAAAAGTGTATATTCCACTTGAGCACTTGTAATTAATATTCTGAATTTTTGCTTTGCGATGGCTTGATGTAAGTAATTATTTACGAATATTTGTGTTGTACCTTGTACTGGTTTATTCCATCAATTAATGTCAACCATCATTAAATAATGTAAGAGTAAATTTTTTAATTAAGATTGTCTCATTTTGAAATTTATAATATAGTCTTATTTTTTTTTATTTTGGTTATGATAAAGTTGTAATGTTATCGAATTAGTAATTTAAAATTTTACAAAAAAAAAAATTTATTGAAAATTTCCACGATTTATTTTAAGTACATATTAATTATAAACACTATAAATTTTTCATTGTAACTTAAATATTTGTATCAGCTGTTACTATAATTATCTACTGATAATAAAGTAGACACGATAATATATACGCGTATGTATGTTACGTGTATTAATATTCGGAATACAAACTCACGCGCAACTTGGTGGGGGGGGGTGTAATAGTTTTCCACTGAAAATAATTCCTTAAGAAATATATACGGAATTCAGTAATTAAATAATTAATGTTAAGTTTCTTAGAACCCTATTTGACCTCCAGTCGAGTTTAATCTGGTTTTAAAGTCAACCCAATTAAAATTTCTTTAGCCATAAAAAACTTACACTTTTATTCCAGTTACCTAGTAATAAGAAACTTCTTCATTAAAATTTTCTAATTACAATTGGTTGTAATACGACTTTATTCTGATACGATTCTCAAATACTCGTCAATAGTAACCCAAGAAATCCACAACAGAATAGTTGGCTAGACTGTATCTTGAGCACTGATGATTTTTAATTAGTTTATATTCTCTTAGAGAAACAACCAAGGTTCAACAGTTTAAAGTGTTATGCAATCGAATAACAGGGTTTATTAATAATTAAATAAAATAATACAAGATCTGTGTATATGAGATATGTTGAGAGAGTCGACATCACGCCGCAAATAATATAAGAATTATAATAGTTTCAATCGAAAATTAAATAATAATAATAAATTGAAATACTATTAATTAGACGTTATACGATTGTGTATGGTAAGCGTCGACTGCTTGTTACATCGCATCTTAACTAACGGCTTTCCGTAAGACTTTTTACATTGTCCTGTATATCTAAATATACAGAGTGTTTAGTAAGTAAGGAATCATTGTTACAAACAATGAGAACAATAGATATACGTTTCTTTACTTACTGAACATAATGTATATATTTCAAAAATGTACAAAAAGAAGAAGACTCTTAAATGAAAGCAATAGGGATCAATTTGTTCTGGTTTTTTAGGTCTTGTTAAGGACCATTGTTAATTCCTCGAGCACATAAGTATTTGGCATTCTTACCTACTTTGTATTACTTTCTTGGACTTCAAGGAAATTATAATATAGAATGTAGGAATGAATGACTTTGTTCACACTAAAAACGGGGTAGTCAAGATTTATTATTAATACATTAATTTCAAACCATTTCTGTATATTTTTTATTATATATTCACAAAAAGCATACCAAAAAAAGCTTTTTTTCCTTAGTATACAATAATAAAGTTAAATTTTGATCAGTGTATTTTTAAAAAAGTTATAGCAAAATTAAAAGAGACGAATTGTTATAGAAAATTCGCGATTTTTGGGTTTAAAGTCAAATAACTCATAGGGAAATTTTGTGGAAACGTTTTTCTTTTTTCAAATGATAAATTAATCTCAAAAAGCTTTAATTTTGTGTAAGTTTGAAAAACAAGTACGTCCTGGAATATTTTTAAAAATTGAAAATTAAATTACTTCTTTTACTTTTACGGCCAACTTTATTTAATTTATAAAAATCATAAAAAAAGAAGCTTATTGTATCTTGTATATCCTATTAAGATTTAATTAGATAGTGTTTTAAAAAAAGTTATATCTGTTTACAATACGGAAATATTTTAATTAAAATTCCGTTTTTAATTTTATAAAATTAAGGGGTTTATTCCAATTTTCGTCGACGATAGGTTCAACTAGATTTCGCCCGGGAGAGGCTGACAGTGCTCTGCACACCCTCTTCCGGTGCGAGGCGTGGGCCCAGTAGCGGGACTCTTTGGAATCCTGACTAGGGTCCACGTCGGGTACATGTTGGACTTGATGTTGAGGAGCCGGGAGGAGTGGAGGCTCGCCCAGGCGTTCGCCGAATCCATCTTGAAAAAGACAGAGGTAGCGAAACACCTGAGACAGAAGTAGCCACTCCGCCCGGCACAAGAGGACCCGAGGTGCTGGTTCAGGCCGGTGCCTTGGGTTTTTGTTTCTGTGTTATTTGTTTTTTATTTGTGTTTTGTGAGTTATTTTGTCAACTCTTCCTAATGGTTCCCATTCTGGGATCTCAGGAACGGAAGGGGGCCCACCATGTTGCGAATCCGCACTTGATGAATTTAGGGCTGATTCACAATATGGTGGAGTGAATTATATGGGTGGCGTGGGCAGCCTTGAAGTAATGCCTAATGGCACTTCTAGGGCGGCACACAGTAATGCCGACCGTGAAAAAAAAGGTTCAACTAGATTAAAATTATGATCTTTTAGAGTATTTATCATTAAAATCGTTCTAGTGAGAGCTGAGAATTTTTATGGACAAACAAACAAAAAAACGCACACTTTCATAAAAAAGTTCTTAGTTTTCCATCGAATCTAAAGCTGTAAAGTACTATTTTTTAAACTTTTTTAATAAAATTTGATGATGTTAAAAAAGACTTCGAAAGGAATTTTTTCGAAAAAGTATTCAACTTTTCACTGTAACAAAATATGGTATAATCTAATAATGATGAAATCGATACCATTAGATACATAATTTTAAAGGAGTTCAAAAATATAATTTTTTTGTTTTGTACAAAACAAATTACCAGGAAAAGTGCAATTACCAAAAAAAATATATGTAAAACTCATAAGTTAAAAGAAATTCCAATTTTATTTTTGTCAGTGTCTTTTTTTTGTACAATTTTTTATAAGTTTGTAAAATAATATTTAACATCCTTAAATATTTTTTGACTCTGAAGACAATGGTGTATTATAATTAGATTTTGGTTATGACAATTATTTCACAATTTAGTTGGTTTATTTGACTTCTAAACTAAAAAAAAAAAAACGATAACACAGTTGGGTCGCAGCACAGTGGAGACGTGACATGTTGGGTCAAGTATAATGATATCTGATATATAATGATATTTTTTTTGAAAATCTTATTTTCTTATTAACTTTGATAATAATTTTCACCATGAAAACAAACTAAAGTCTTAAATTTTTCCTTTTCATATTAAAGTATATTACATAAGTTTTAATTCAAGATNATATACAGAGTGTTTAGTAAGTAAGGAATCATTGTTACAAACAATGAGAACAATAGATATACGTTTCTTTACTTACTGAACATAATGTATATATTTCAAAAATTTCAATTATTAAGTTAATTTTTGTGAAAAAGTTGTCATTTTGAACCCCATAATTTTGTGCAGGTAAAGGGTGAGACTTATAAAAAAATATTTAAAATGATAGATAAAGATATCACGCATTTATAAAAAAAAATTATATTGATTTGGTCATTTTTTACAATGTTATGGTAGTTTTAAATATAATTATTGGAAGAATTTCGAAAATTATCATAGTAAAATTAATATCTTCTCAGCTTTGCATCGAAGATAAAATAATTAAAACAAAATTGTCTTTTTAACTATTACTGATTTTGATTTTTAATGTGTTAATAATAATTAGTGCAGAATATAATTTTTAACTTTTTTGTGGCCCTTTAATACTGATTTATTGAAAGTTTATATTACAAAAAAAATTGAATTTATTAACATGATTTTTAGCTGACATCATTAAATGGAAAATTTTATGAGAATTAAAATAATGGTATTGTTAAGATTAATATGCCGTCAGGAAATTTTATAATTACTATTTACTGTAAATTTATCAGAAAAACTCAATATTTTTATTGTAATACATCATTTAAATAGAAATCGTAATATTGATTTCCAAGTAACTATGGTGTTTAAAAAGATTCTACAATTGAAATATTTATAACTTAATTGATTTTAATGATTTACTTTAATTTATTTTATGATTTCTAAATTTATACTTTTTTTGTAAATTTCCCCCATTTAAGGGGACCGTTGAAAGAAATCTGTTCAGTAAAAGATGAGAAATAGTGGTAATAGACACAAAAAAAAACACATCATTGTACAATTAATAATCTGAGAAGGTAGCTTCGCTTCGAAGCTAAAATTAAGTAATTTACAGAATATTTATGACCTTTTCTACAATTAGTTGAGTTATAGAGTATAAATAAAATATAAACAATAATGTGAATGTTTAATTAAATTAAGTTTAAATGCATTGTTTGATATATTATTTTTGATATAATTGTAAAGTATACCTAACTAATATGCTTCTGAAATAAACTTATTCCTTGTTCATTACTTTTAAGTTGTATTTTCATGAGCAAATCATAATCCTTTACCATACTGCCATATTTATCAAAGTCAATTTTCGAAACTTTATTCATATGATCCCACATATTGTTTGATAAATGATCTATAATATTCCAAGGATTCAAGACCGGAAAGTCTAATTTATTCTCCAAATCAGAAAAATCTACGCAAAAAAAAAATTCGTCAAGAGATTTTGAACGATAGTGCATTACCTCCTTAAAGTCTAAAAAATTGAAACATTGTTCACCACGGATTTCTAGTACTTTTATAACACATTCAATTGGATGTGTTGAAATAAATAGTTTTTGAAATATAGATTTCATCGACAATAGCAATTCAAGAAATTTGTGTTCTGCTCTTATTATCCCAGAGGCGGCAGGTGTCATTGCTTTGATATACTCAAAAAATCTATAAATAAATGTTAGGCCAGCACTTTCAATGACGTTTATTACAAGAGCGTAACACTGAATATATACAGATTCGTTTTGTTTAATACACCAATCTACAATGTTG